GGAGTATTGTTGGGTATGTGTTTTATATAATAGAGGTTGTGACAGTCAGGAGAAATTTGATGACTTAGAAGACGAATGAGCATTTATGTAGCTTACAATATAAAAATTATTATTTAATTCTGAAACTTAATTCTCAATCAAAACATTACTATTATAAATTCCAAGTCTCCTCGATTAGTAATTCGATATCCACAATCACTTGTTCTGCTTCCCAATAAATTATACAAACTAAAAGAACTGGTTTCTCAGTTGTCGACTAATAGAAATATGGTCCGCGTAGTGATAAAATTTGTTCTTCAACTATTGATCTGTAATCAAAAAGATGTGCTGGTGTAATTGTCTCTATTCTTTGGCTTCCACTAGATTAGTTGTTTTTGATAAACGTTTTCACGAAATTGTTTCATCCGTAAAATTTGGTCTTAAAATTCGTTTTACGTTTGTGAAAGTTCTTCCCTGTCGGCACAACCCTCCCCCGAGGCCTTTGATCTCACGCAGTGCGTTTCGACAGACTGCTTTCTCTCTGCATCAAGAGGCTCTTTGAACTCATTCCAAAGGGTTAAAACGTCTGTCATATGATTTGTTGCTTTGACGGAACAAAATACCTGAGAGTCGCGTGGTCTGTAATTACTTCGTATTTTGGGAAATATTCTTATGACAAATTTGCAACTTATACTTGGTAAATGCCAACCATTCCTTCTTCTTAGAATTACATAGTGGATACACTTGGACCAGTGGCTATAATGTAATCATTCTATTAATCAAGCTTTCTCCCCCTCTTCGTTTTTATGATTCGAAAGATCCAAAGTTTTTTATAGACACGTTAGTTCGCTGTATCAAGGGACTATCATGATTATGACGATATATAAATGAATTAAACCAATTTATAAACGCGTCTTTTATGAGTCGAGCTCTTTTACGGCAATAATTTATCTCTATATAGTAGTAGCGCAATCTGTTTCCCTAACTTTTATAATCCAAGTAGTTTATCACAGAGAATTCAGCCCACGAGTATATAACACCAAATGCACAATACACCGATGTAAACATCAGGGATACGAAAGGATATCGGTCTTCAAAGTAAAGAGGGTGAATTATTCCAGTAAAGATGCATAACGGAATCATTCCCAAAAGATAAACCGTTTTCAATAGCTGAACTAGCTTTGGTAGGCCAACGTCAGATCCTGATGTTTTGTACTGAGATCTTTCCAAAAGTAAACAAATTCAATTCAGTAACAAAAGCATTCATCAGAACTCCAACTAGAATATACTGTTGACGTATAGCCACTTACTCTCTGGCTAATCCAAAGGCCACAAAGAACAACCAGATAATATATAAGGGTAATTTGATTATAGATTCTATAAAATAAAGGTCAACTTAGCGTTAATTCTCTATCCTGCCAAACTTAACAATCGATGAATGCAATATATTCACCTTGCCAATGAAATAGTAGCGGAAATAGAGAGTATAAACCTGCAACTGACAAAATTAAAAAGATATCAAAATACTCTTTTCTGTTTCCCACAATCAGGCTGCAATAGAAATAAAACCAATGTTATTTACTTGTTCATTTAAAAACCACTTGAGCAACTGTTGTGCTGCAATCAACACACCTGAATGGGATCAATACCAACAAAATTGCCTTTTCATGAACATGCCATCCAAAAAGAAATGATGCAAATCCACAAAGTATTAGCGATACTAAAAAGTTCTCGTAATTTGGTCGTTTCCATAATCTTACTAAAGAAGGCTGAACGAGACTGTTAATGCTTTATGGAGACTTGGTAATAATAGTCCAATAAAGATACTCACAATCTGAAACGCGATTGTGGTAAAAAAGGTAATCCTTGGTGAAATGTTTGGTAAAATAGCAAAATTTGTATCTCCAACAAGTCCTCGAGTTACAGAAGAAATTGCTTCTTCATTCAAGTGCATTCCTAATTTTTTGGCACCTAGAATGATATCTAGTCATCCGCAAATACAAATAAACGTGGTCTTACTAAAATCATGTGCGTCAGTATCCTTACAAAAAATTAAAACGCGATCCATAAATGAATACAGTGCCCAGAAATTAGGAGCCCAGTATGCATGACAAAGCCCTCTTGTAAATGGAAAAAGTCGTGAAAGTATCTGGGAAAGTTGCCCGATAGGGTCCAGTAACAAGAATGGTCCAAATGATATGGCAAACACTCCAGCAACTGATGCACCTAATGTCGCAAACCTTGTGAAGGAGAATTTTGAATAACCTGTAATGTATTGTGAAATTGTTAGTAAACCAAAATTATGTACTGGTGTCACAAACTTTAAAATGGCTTGACTAAACCTCA